TTTCCAGGCATAAATGTCGTTCATTGATTAAAGCAAAATTTATAACTAATTTTGGGGTACCTTTAAACCGTCCGTTGGTCCAGGTAGACGGAATATTTCCTCCCGGATCATCTGGACGCAATGCGACGTTGCCAATTCTAGAGCAATCTTTTCCGTCAAAGGTTTTTAATAACGATTATTGATAATTTTATTTTATATTCTGGAAAATACAGAAAAATATATTTTTTTATGAATAATTTCATGCATAATAATACTGTTTTTTCAATTGTTAGAAAATTAAGTTGACTTGGATCGTTTTTCATAATCCAACAGGTTTGACATTGAAATCTGATAGATACCCATACCGCTCAAACACATTTCGGAAATATTTTAAAAATGTTACATTGAAACATTTGTAATGTTGTATACATATTTCGAAACATCCCAGAAATATTTCTGAAAAGTGCCTAAAACGTAAAAATGTCCTGTAAATATAATATTTTACAGTAATATTTCTGAAATGAAAATTTGAAATATTTTAGAAATATTAAATGTATTCCAGTTATTTTCTAATATTTTATTAAATTAAAGAAAAATTATTTGTTTAACAATAGTTTTATTAATATTGTTTTAAATTAACTATAATAAAACAATACTAATGTCTAAACAAAACATGAAAATCCACCTAAGCAACCATTATTTCTATAGACATATTCTGCTTCCCATATAACAAGTTCACAACGCATGAATATCAAAATCCAACAACTCAAATCTATAATTATTTAGAATATAGGCTTGTTTCTAGCTGGTGACTGGACAGGGACATAATATGATGAAATAAAATAACTACATACTATATCCCATCTTCTTCTTACAAATCAGAAATTCTTCATTAATTGTCGGCCTTTTACAACATAACCCGTTTGGTAACCTTTTGTGTAGCATGTATACCATGTTTCAGAAACATTTTCAGAGAAATATTTAATTAAAATATTTCAGAAATATTTTAGAAACTTGTGCTTGAAATGTTATATGTTTGAAGCGTTTGAAATATTTCTGAAACACTTCTGAAATAATTTGTGCTGTATGGGAAATAGATAGTCTTTCTTACCTTCGACATAATGCCTTTTTTCTTGGTAAATTCACAAAGAGATGACGGTTTTAGGAGAGATCCTCATTTTAAATCAACTTTTGGTATGCTAGAAGCAGACTCAGAAGCAACACCTAGTTATATTATTTATTTAGCATGTAATCTAATTTTTAGTCGCATCGTTTAACAATTAAATTAATGCAGGTACCTAATAAGTACATAATACAGTAGATACATATGCTGTGGTAAAGCGTTGATTATCTGGGTTAATTGTGACCGGACCCTATCCGGATTTTCGAAAAGAAACTTTTTTGGTCGTTTGAATTCATAACAAAAAGAAAACTTGCTAAAAACCGATAATAATTCACTTTTGTGGTTAATTAATTGAGCAGATAAATAAAACCATTAAATAATATGAATTTATTCGAAGATTCTGCCCAATCTGTCGCATCAACAATTTTGTTTCACAAATATGCATACCACACTGCATCAAACAAATACTTGAGACTATGACTAGACAGAATCTGCGCTTAGTCATAGGCATTCTGACTGGTAATTGCCAAACACGGAAGCATCTCGATATCATGGGGCTGTCAGAATCCGCACTCTGCAGTGGGTGCTAACAAGAAAATGAGACCATCGAGCATATTCTTTACGATTGCTCGACGCTCTTATTTATTAGATTTGTGTTTGGCGAGTATCGGCTGACGCCGGCCTATACTCGTATAAGAGAAGCACCTCTTGGCGACGTTGTCAACTACATTAAATCTGTAGGCTGGCTTACGAGCTAGGAGGTGCCGATCATCTTAGGAGGATGCAGAATGGGCCTAGTGAGGCCTAAGTACCGTGGGGGTAACCCACCCTCCACACGTTACAGATACAGATAGATGCATGTATGCTGCACTTCCACTTTTTTGTTTTTCACCGGAATTGAACGGTCGGGATTTTTGTCCAAACTATCGACGCTCTACTGTACTTAGTTCTGTTTTGCAACAGCACTTTCTGTATCTCTCTAACAAAATATATCAGGGTGGTTTACTAAATCAATAATATTAAAGCACGGTTATGTTTGACAAGGCTTTAAATAGTGCTCTTATTGTTAAATTAAAAGTAAGCAGAACAATAATGCCGTTCCGTGAGGACTTTTGCCAAATGCTCCTGTCCCCTTACAGTCCCTGAAAAAAAAAAGAACCAAAAAGAACAAAAGAAAAATAAAGAAGAGAGAAAAAAAAGAAAAAAATCCTTGCCAAATATTCTTCTTACATTTATTTACCCATTATTTTTGTATTTGTTACCTAGTTGTGTTTCTGACTGCTATAGCTTTTTTTGATCTTTTCGCGCCTTCCCAGGTATATAATTCACGAGCTGTTACTGCAAGTATGATAATTACTCATAAATCTAATAATACCACTAAAACGTTATTTTCGAATGTTAAGCCTAAAATTAGTAAAATAAATCAACCACACGTTGTCTATAAAATTGACTGCAAGGACTGTAATTCCACTTACATAGGACAAACAAAACAATATCTACATAAAAGAATAAAAAACCACAAAAATAATATAGCAACTAATAATGAAAATTCCACTGCCCTAACTAAACATGCGTTAGAAAATTTGCACTCTTTCGATTTTGAAAATGTAAGAATTCTTGAAAATGAACATAATCTCAGCAATAGAATAATCCTTCAGATAATACATATTAAAAAAATAACAACTCTGTAAATAATAAAACAGACATAAAACGTTTATTTTAATATTATTACTGAGGCCCTTCCTATGGGGCCTCAGTATTGCATTCGTGCAGACGAAAAAATTTTCTGACCCCCATTTTTTAAAACTTTTTTCAGGTTTCTGATCATTCTGAGTCCGAAAATGCAAACAAAAAATTCGTCTGGTCGTCTGTGTGTATGTATCCGGCACGATAACTCTAGAACGAAAGTTCTGATTGACTTGCGGTTTTGATTTTCTTGAATAATTACTTCTAACTTAAAACCCTATTGATTTTCAGAATTTTCGGTTAATCCTAACTACGTTATTATCAATTTTCTTAAAATTCGTCTATGCATTCCTTATGTGACACTTTTAGGAATTCCAATTATTTATAACGTCAAAATTCCTAACATTCTTTACATTCCATAATTTGCAAACATTCTCTAACGACCTGTCAAACAACAGCTATTGATAGTAAATGTGAAATTTCTAAGGCGGGTTGCGACCTTCATACTTGCAACCATAGCCATTTTGGAGGCTATTTTCATTCGAAATTAGTCGCCAAGCCTGTCAATTTATGAAAAATATATAAGCAGTTTCTTAAAAATGACTTTTTTATGGTGGTGCTATTAAGCGTACTACTATTTCGCCCCTAGCCACAAAAACACCTTCATCAAATTTACTGGTTCTCTGTCGCAACCCCATAGAATAATTAACTGGCCATTCTATTTGGCAAAAATCAGAATAATGCTTGGCTGTACCTGTCAAGTATCAAGATGTCAACTGTGATATGTGAATGGCTCATAAATGTCAAATTATTTAAAAACGTATACTTCTTTTGATATTTATTGCAAATAATTTGCAGTGTATCTGAATTCAGGCGTTCCATAAATAAAGGTACAGCAAGATAGATAATATAATGTTCTTATACAAAGCACTTTTTTATTATATAAAAGAGAGGTAGGATATAATACCCATTTCAAATTTGGATCAATTATGATACCGAGGTATTTTGTTGTGTTTTTCATTTTAATTATAAAGTTGTCATTTATTTGTATTTCGAAAAAAGGCCTTTGTAAATTACGTTGCTCTCTATGGATCTACTTTAATACAAAAATAGTTTTGTGGCTATAAATTGCTATAACCTATCGTCGCAAAACTATTAATAATTTAAACATAGTAAGTAGTATTAATATAACATCAAGTAATTTTTTAAAATAAAGTTCATGATCTCAAAACAAATAATCTATAATAAATGCGGAAAAAACGAGGGGTAAAATAACAATAAATTAAGGGAAATACTTAAAAGGGCAGGTTTAAAGAGTATTATCACAAGAAAGTATAGGTATCCGTTCTGTTTATTTATCAAGTATTGTTTGAGGTTACTTTAGAATACATTTATTGTTGTTTTTTTTTTTTTTTTTAATTTCTGTAGGCAGTCTATTAAATTTTTTAAACCTTTAATAAAAATTGTATTTTGGGAACTTTTAGTGATGGCTTGCCGTACATGAAAGTCAGATTGGCTTCTTGTATTATAGTTGTGATATTGCGAATTATATTGAATTTTTTCTAATAGATCTGATGCGATAGTACTAAGTCATTTTTATTTTATAAATAAATATCAGTCATGTACTGAACATAATTCTGAACTGAAAGCCAACTTATTTCTTTTAACATAGTTGCAATACTCATCCTTCTGTCCTTTATTAATAGAATATAAATAGGCGAAGTAAGTAGCCCAAATATTTTACATGAACATGCTTAAGAGGTAAAGGGGCCAATTTTTATTGGATAAATTGCTCAAACAAGTTTGTAAACCCTAATCAAAAGGCGATATAAAATGGTTTTAAAAATCAAGGCTTATGGAAATCATCACATGGTTTAACCTAATTAATGCCAATGCTTCACAAACCAAAAAATTCAATGTCCTAATACTACTATCGGCTTTCGGTCTTTCGTTCCAAGTTAAATAATTTCTCGTTTTTGTTACGCTACGAGTTTACCCTTGTGGGCCTCAGTCTCGATAAGGTGGGAACTACCATTTTAACGTCTCTCGAATTAAATAAATGTAAACTTTCTAATCCTTAACTGTAACGCCACTGGTAATTTTTAACTTTCTAAAAACGCATCTTTTTGTTTCCCTACTTTATCGTTATCATGTTAAACCAAATCAATATTATTAAGAATACACCTTCAAATGCTGAAACAGAAAGATGGGGTTCCTGTTATTTTAAAAATTTTTAAACTGTAATCATCCCATGTGTCTTTTTAATTTTTTTTAAATTTTGACTGATGGAAACAAAATTTTCCCAAACATATGTTGTGCTAACGATAGAAAATAAAATTAATAACCGAATAAACCAAGGAAATTTTTATTTATATAAAATATACTTATTTAATTATTATCAAATGCTTTATTTTCGAACTATCCTAATCTATCAAATTTTATTTAGACATCGGCAACGGTGTTTAAAAATATCTCGATTTTGCGCCGGCGCTTCAATTCGCGCCAATGCTAAGCACAGATAGCAGATGTTCGGAGTTCTGATGTTTTGTAACCAGCAAAGTGTACACGGCAGGGCTATTTTCACTCGATTTTCTTTATTTTTTTACGGCCAAACCCTGTTCCGTATCGCAAAAAAAACCGCACCGATCGAAAGCCCGGAGTTTTTAGAATATGAAAATTCGAAATTTTAAGTTTTTTAATTAGCCTCGATGTTGCTGGAACCAGTGTTTTGTCATACACTCTGCCGTTTACCAAACTTCACGGTTTGGAAACCATTTTGTTTAGCAAACGGGAATATGTAGTTTTTTTCTTTGTGTTTTCTAAATCTAACTTAACCTTTTGTCGAAATTCAGTGCAGTGATTCTCTGTAAATTAGCACCAAATATAAAGGTAAGCCCTCATGGGTTTTTTGTCAGTAAATTTAAATGCCCAGCTTAGAGAATTATGGCGGTCAGGGTAGGGTACGTAGTGTCTAATTCTCGTTTATTAGCAAAATCCTTTAACGTTTCTTCAAATTAACAATCTTTAATAACAAATTAATGCATGAAATACGTTAATGACCGTTAAATTCTTGCAGCAAGGGTATAAATTATGCGTCCCTCCCCTAAGTAGTCGGTATGAAATTCCAACGGTTTTAGAACCGTCCTTTATTTTTTGTTCATGTGTTAATTAATTTAATACGCAAATATACAAAGTGTTGATTTAAATTATATAAATAGTAGCTAATAGGTATTTTCATTTATCTTATTAGCTTAAATTAGGACAAATTTTAGTAGTGATTAGGTATCGTAAACAGTTTTTATGTAGGTAGTGTGAAAAATACCTAATCACTACTGTGTAATCGATCTAAGCTTTTTGCAATTGCTTCCCCTAAATTTAGTGTATGTTTTTTGTAAAACAATTTGATCTATTCGGAAATAAAGGCAACTTGGATTTAAAATCCATGTGTTGGAGGTTAACATATTCTATACACGTTGTGTAAAACATCACATTTCACACATGTTTTGTAATGACTAAAATTGACCTTTGATGGGGTCAGTATTGTTCATTTCCTTTAAAATTTCAGATACATCCTAATTGTTTATTGCATATTGATTAGAATATTATATTTCTACTTTTATAACTATACATCGTAACCTAGAAGTTTCCCAAAATGGTAGACGGTAGACCCGATAATTATCAAATAATCACGACCTGATTACTAAGTGTAAAGTATAATATACCTAGGTAGGTACTTATAATATTAATATTAGGTAGCTAACGATTTTAAAGATTGCATTTTTATAAGTAAACCTTTTAAAATACAGGGCGTGTCTAAAGTTTCAATATAAATCCTTTGACATTTATTACATTTTTTTTTTGAATACGTATCTGACTATTTCTATGATGTAACTTCATTATTAAAGTTTATAATATATAAAATGATTTTATTGATAAACGAGAACCTAAATAATTTGATTTTGACTGTATGTCCCATACCTATAGCATTCAAATACACCAAACCAAGGTGAAAACTCAAGAAAAATGGACCTAAGGTGGCATCCTTTCAGCTCAGCTGGTTTAACAGCTTCTAGAAAAGGTTGTTACCCAACTGATAAGAGATTAAAATGCAATTTGCCTCCCTAATAGTTTATTAATAAAAGAGGTAGAGAAGTTTATTTTTAAATTGTAGTGTAACAGTTATCTAGGCAATGCAATCAAGGGCAGCTCCAAGGAGGGGTCAATGCCTCCCTCGATTTTAAAAAATTCTTACAATCCATGAGCCTTTTATTTAAAAAAAATTCACATTTAAATTCATAAAAAACAGTCCAATACACATACTCATATCATGCTAATTTATTATGACAACCAGTCCAAAACAATCCAAATTATTAAGGGAACTGCCATTATCTAAAGGCTCTAAGAAGATCACACTTGATTGGGCGCAGGGACATAAAGAAACGAAAAAGTAGACCCCATAACCAGAAATGAAACTGATAAAACCATAAGCTTGGGTTGGAACTTCCTGGACAATCAAAAGTCAAAGGGTTCATCTAAAGCAAACAAAATCAGCAAAAAATAACTGAAGACTGCAATATTTGTTACAGGGCTGTATTAAAAGACACATAAATCTATTATCTGTTGATTCCCTTCTTAAAAAATGCTAACAGGAATTTTATACATAATGTCACTTCCGGAAATTGCACTTCCATCTGGGATACTTTTGATTGGGATATACAATGATATGGGTACAATAAGCTAATTGTCTTTGAACAACACCCTAATTTAGTATAATCACTTTTTTGTGGCATTAATAGGTTGTTTTCCCTACATGTACATACTTTAAGTAATTCTTGTATACATCTTTTAGGTATTCTAAGGGATTCTCAAGAATTGAACATTCTCGGGAATTATTTGGGTATTTGGCAACTTTCTTGATCTAATTTTTAGAAGGCAGCTCACAATAATTAAAATTTTTCACTGTATTGATTTTTCACAATGATCTTTGATTAGGACATGTAAAAATTATTCATACACTCGTAAATGGCAAAGAAAATGTGGGAAATAATTATTGGAAATGATAATATGAAAATTTTATTAACATACGGTTCTTTGTTAAAAATAAATTGTTTTGTATTTTAAAACCATAATAAATTCATTAACGTCGTTATTATAACGGTAGTTGGCCTCATAGTCACTACCAAAAAGATATGTAATTTGCAGTGTTGCCAATGTCAGGATAATTTTTAATGCCAAAGAAGGCAGAAGAGCACCTACGGAATTTTGATTTGAAACCTATGCCATATTTTTATATCCTATTAAAAAATTTTACATTCCTCTTTTTTTTGTAAAAATCAAGGTGCTTTGCTATCTTCGAACGAAGTCAGTAGAGCGGTTTTTTAAAGCCTTTTTCTAAAAAGAACCATACCATATTTTTAGGCTATTTTTTGGTTCTTTAAATATATAACTAATAAACAAAATTATTATTTTTTTTAAAATACAGGGTGTTTTGCTAGCTTCGAACGATGCTAACAGAGCATCTCGCTTTTTTCTAAAAACAACTATACCACCTTTTTAGATTATTTTTAGGCCCTTAAAATATTATAGAACTTATCTAAAATCAGCAAAACACCTCGGTTTTTAGGTTATTTTTATGCTCTTGAAAAAACATTTTTTAAAAAATACAGGATGGTTTGCTTGCTTCGAATGAAGCCAGCAGAGCACCTCGGTTTTTTAAAGCTCTTTTCCAAAAATAACCACATTATTTTTAGGCGTTTGAAATATATTAGTTTTCGAAAAAAAAAATGCTATTTTTAAATATTACAGGGTGATTTGTTTCAACAAAGTACTTCGTTTTTTTTTTTTTTTTTTTTTTTTTCAAAAAAGTTATTTATGCCACATTTTTAGGATCTTGAAGTATTAAAATTTAAAAAAATAGCTTCGAACGATGTTATTTTATACTTTTTTTATAAAAATAACCACTCCACATTTTTAGGCTAATTTTAGGCTTTGTTGCAACAAAATCAGCAGGGCACCTCGGTTTATTAATTTCTTTTTCTGAAAAAAAAACTAATTATGCCACATTTTAAGGCTGTTTTTAGGCCCTTGAAATATTATGAAACTTTGCTAAAAAATTGTAAGTTTGACGTATGAAGCTTGTCGAAAATAATTGCTATTTTTTAAATATGGTCTGCTTTGCTAACTTCAAATGAATCCAGTGGGACACCTTGAGTTTTTAAAGGGTGTTTCTAAAAGCATATATGCCACATTTTTTGGATCTTGAAATTATATAAAACATTTAAAAAAATTACTATTTTTAAAAAATACGTGGTTTTGCTAGATTCGAACGAACCCTGCAAAGCACTATGTTTTTCTAAATTTTTTTTATGATATTTTTAGGCTCTTGAAATATATTAAACATTTTGATAAAATTTGTTATTTTTGAAAAATGCTCTGCTATATATTTTTTTTAAAAATAGCAATTTTTTTTAATAAAGTTTTATAATATTTTAACAGCCTAAAAATAGCCCAAAGAAATGGTGTAATTGTTTTTAGAAAAAAAGCTTTAAAAAACCGAGGTGCTCTGCTGGTTTCGTTCGAATCTAGCAAAACACCCTCTATTATTTAAAAAATACTAATTTTTTTCGAAAAGTTTTATAAGATTTGAAGAGCCTAAAAATGTGGGATAAGTAGTTGTTTTCAGAAAACAAAAATAAACCGAGGTGTTGTTCTGCTGATTTTGTTCCAACAAGCACCTTGTATTATTAAAAAAGGCAATTTTGTTAGTAACGTTTAATAATATTTTAAAAGCCTAAAAATAGTCTAAAAATATGGTGTAATTATTTTTAGAAAAAAATCTTTAAAAAAACCGAAGTTAGCAAATCACCCTGTATTTTTTTAAAAATATCAATCGTTTTAGAAAAGTTTTATATTTTAAGAGCAACCAGGATATCTCGTAAGTTTACTTTAAAGCCATACGCTCTATTTTTCATCTGATTTTCATGAAATTTTTTTCAATTATTAATCAATATTTATTGCTTGGGGCAGAAACAATCTTTTTTTTTTTAATTTTCTTTCTTTATTATTAATAAAGTAAATTTTTGGAAATTTTTATTGTTTCTGCCCCAATGTATAATAAATTTAAAAATTTTTGACGGTCTTTATTTTTTAAAAAAGTAAATACTTTTTAAATGGGATTAAAATTGCGCTTTTTAATTAAAATTGGCCGCCACTCTACTATAACGGGCGAGGCTCGATGTGGCAACGCTGCACCGAGCGATATCGATTATTTCGCTCTGCATGATTTGGTATATTACTTTCAGTCGTAGAATTTTTTATATTTTTGAAATACTAGTAACATAATATTTTCTATTTAATTAATATTTTGAATTACGTATTTTTTGGAAATAACTAGTAATTTTTATAATAAACATTGCATCTCATTTATCGGTTTTGAAGATTGTAGGAGGAAAGCAAAAAGTCGTTTCGGAATTATTCGAAACAGTTTTCAGAAATTTCTTTTCGAGTTATGATAATTTTTCAAGGAAAAAATATTTAGAGAAGAATAAAAAGTGACATGGATGGACATGCCATATAAAAAAAATTATCTATTATTATATGAGTGAAATATTTATTTGTTTTTCTATAAATTTACATTTGTTAATTCTTTTCTACAATTTCCTCTTATGTTTAAGTTCCTTGTTGCCCTTGAATGAACTAGCTCCGGAAGAAGACAGTTGAAAAAAAAATATTTTTAATTTCGGAACCATTTCGTTTAACCAGAAGTTCTCATCTTTATAAATCTAACAAAAGGACATTAATAAACTTAAAAAAAAGTTAATTAATACCTAGTTACCTCTTGGACTCCATATAACGAAGTAGCATTTTTCTTTTTTTGTTATTGCTAATTG